GGTGGAAATGAGCTATTACTATTCGGCACCAGACAAGTAGCTTTCTTTATAGCATATATATCCGCTTGAAAAATATTACAGTCGTCACGCGATAGGACTGACTGCTCGGCAAGTTCTCCAAATAGAGACTCGCGCCAACTCCGTTTCCCATCGTTAAGTCAGCGGTGTTGATATCAGTACCATCATTTTCCGTCTTTAGGCCAACGTCAGAAATCGTTTAAGAATCTGGAACGTAAGATCAGAGTCGGTATATACAAAAGTCAAGCCCTCATTTCGCTATGTCGTCCTATTTTCAATTCACTTCAATTTTGAATCCTATTAGAAGCTATCTTAATTTTATCTACGGAGTTGAATGATGAGAAAATTCGATGATTTGCTTTAGTTGGCCACGTGAAAATATGGGGTTTAATTCCGGATATTAATGTTTTCGTTTTTTTTTACCTAGGGCATAACCATATCGGAGCCACAGCCAAAGTATCACAGTTCCTAAGAGTCAACTCGAGCTAGTGGGTATCAGATGACGGTATTCAAGAAGGGGTGCTGGCGAAGGTTTTAGTTGACTCTCGATAAATGCCAAGTGAATGCGCTGTATCGCTAAATGAGATGGTCCCATATTATGCCGGAAATATTAATGCCTCGACGCCTGGATATCAGAGGGCAATTGCAAAACTAAAGAATTACAAGACAGGGCACGGGTAGCTATGCAAATGGCCACATTCAAATACAGTAGTAGAAGAAGATCTAACGATCTAAATCTCAATTATCCAAAGCATGCTGGAAACCCCTTTTATCTAGTGAAACTGTGAGGAAAGTCATAGTACAGTTCATGGATGGAAAAGAAAATGTGTAGCATGTTTTATACCAAAAGCAGATTGCGTAAGCCCGGTAAACCATATTTGCAAGACCTTGTCGAAATCTCGCTTGTGTGTAACGGGCCTTTAGCAAAGCTTATAGCGAAAACAAAGTGGGTTCTACCCGATTGACCTTTTAACATCGAAAGGAATTGGCATATTCTCCATATAGTACCACAACGAGCCTATTTTCCATCTATGTTTTTTT